GCAGGAGAATCACTTGAACCCAGGAGGTGGAGACTGTGGTGAGCCAAGATCGCACCATTGCACCCCAGCCTGGGCAACCAGAGTGAAACTCCGTCTCAAAAAAAAAAAAAAAAGGAAAAAATATCTGAATCTATCTTCTTGCTTAGGAAATAATCGTAAGACCAGGAAGGATAAGGGTTAACTTATGGGAGCTGGGTGCAGCTGAAGAGTTTATGATGAAGTCAGGGTAGGCAAGGGGCTTCAGCTAAGCTGTTTGTTCTTAAGCTGGTGTGTGAAATATGAGTGATTTTTTGTACATCTTTGCATATTTTAAAATTTTTAAATCTGAATCAGATCACACTTTGAATGGAATAGTTATCCCCAAAATTTAAAGTGAGTTAAGTTTTGCCCATGGTTTTGAGTTAACCAACTCTTGACCTTGTGGGTGTCCACACATAAATTTTTCTATAGTAAATGCAAACTTTCTGCATGGCAGACTTCCAGCTCTAGCAAGCAAGTTTCAGAGAGCGGGGGCATTCTAGAAAACAGAATCCTTACCTGATAGTGGAGCATAAATTGAACTAAGGCTGAGGTTGCATCTTAGCATACTGTCTAAAGAGGTCAAGTTTCATTTTATAGGCAGCAACAACAAAAAAACCATTAAATTATCAAGAATGGGTTGACTTAATTTGCAATTTTAGGAAGGACAGGTCAGACAGGAAGCCAGCTGGCCTTTGCAGCAATCCAGGGAAATATTATTACCTGCTCAAAGTAAACTTAAAAAAACATGGTGGCTCACATCTGTAAACCCAGCACTTTGGGAGGCTGAGGTGGGAGGATTGCTTGAGCCTGGAAGGTTGAAAGCTGGAGTGAGCCCAGATCACACCACTGCACTCCAGCCTGGTCAAGAGTGAGACTGTCTCAAAAAAATATCTGTATATATAATATAATCAAATATGTCTGAACCCCTAGTTTTCCAACACATATATAAAGGAACACATGTTTTCTATTCTGGGTGCCCCTGTGCTTCAGACCAATATATTTTGCCCCCAATAGCCCCCAGCATCCCTAGTTGTGTGTGGGCACTGCAGCCTCGACCTCCTAGCCTCATGTGATCTGCCTGCCTTGGCCTCCAAAAGTGCGTGGATTACAGGCATGAACCACTGCAGCTGGCCACAGGCACGCTTTTTATGTGCCCATTTCATCTTGCAAATCAATCTGAACCACAAGTTTTTGGACTTAGAGAGCTTCTTGAGGAAATGTGGCTATCCAAAACAATAATTTTAGCTAATGAGGTCCCAGGACCTTAAAGGGAAATAATTCTCCTTAAATCCATCAAGAACTAGGCAGAGAGCATGGGTTCAAGATCTTTTATTTTCAGAGCTTCCAACAGTTGGTTAGTAATGCTAGCTAAGCTGGTATAATCTGAAGGCCATCCCACCTTTCTCTTCAGGCACTCAACCAACAGAATCTCTTTCTTACGAACAAGATCATTAACCAGTTGGAATCTGTCTCAATGCGCGTGTAGGAAGAAGTCCTCTCCCCCACATTTTTCCCGACAAGATTGTTTTATAGCCAAATGTAACTCAAACCCATAACACAGCAACTAGCCATCTCCAGTATCACTTGATTCCCACCCCCCCACCCCAAGAATAGGAAGTTGAGGTAAGGGGAGAGACTGTCTCCTGTTTTAAGAAAAAACTGCCTACACCTCAATGAAGCCGTGATGGTAAGGAGGCTGGCACCAGAGGGTGGGGATGAGTAGGCACTGAAACAGGCCTCTCTAGAATCAATGAAGTCAGCCCCAGCTCCTTGGATGAGGTGCTCTTTTGAAATCCCCACATCTATGGGGTTAGATAAGGGACAACCGGTGATGATTCATCACTCCCTGTCTCTCAAATTAAAACATGATAAACCCAGAAAGTTTTACCTTCAAAATCCACCAAGCTCCCTCCTGAGAAAATTCTATCCAGTCATGTCCATGCCAGCACCCACTCCCTTCTCCTAATGCCCAGGGCTTCCAGCCCCTCTCCTCACCCTTGGGTGGCCCATCCAACACTGATTTGATACTCTTTGACTCATAATATGACCATTTTTAAAAAATTAGAAAATAAAAGCTATCAAACAATATCACAGCAACATAAGGAAGACACTCAGTGGACATGCTCCTCCCCCATCCTGTGGAGCCCACCCAGCCCCACCCCCCTTCCCTGGGAAACCTACACTGCAACATTCCAACACTGAGCCAGGGGTGGCCCTGGACGCTGCCTCAAGTGCTTTCCTGACTGTGGCTCCTATACCAGCCAATGTCATGGAACTGGGGTGAGGAAGAACAGGGCCACATCTCCCACCAAATTGATCTCAGTGGCCAGTGGTGGGTCTGGGAGATTTAGCTTATGTCAGGCAGCCAAGCCTGGGTCCAATGCTCTCACCAGGACCTCAGTTCTTGGCTTAAATAGCAGCAGCCCCAGTACCACAGCGCTTCCTGGGGGTAACAGAGCACCTAGCTTTCTGTCCCATAACTTATAACAGGTTTATATTTTCTTATCCCCTTCTTTTTCTTTTTCTTTTTTTTAATTAAAAGCCGAGGTAGTCCCTGGGATAATAAAACCCTACCTAGAATGGCAGTATTTCAACCTAATGAAGCAGTAAAGTAAGTCTCCAGGAGTTAGAAAAAAAATAAAATAAAGTGATTGATGAAGTTGAATAAATTAAAGGTATGGATTATCCCACAAAGACCTTTCCTTCCCAGGTTGTCTTTGCTATTTGGCCAGCAGCATTTCTGTCTGTGTAACTTCTCTACTCCCCTCCGTCTCCTCTCCCCTCATGAGATGGCTGGAGCCCGAAAAGGCCCCGGCTGCTTCATCCCACCGTGGCTCAGAGCAGCTTGACGCGGTGCTCAGAACTGCATTGTGGCACAGTTCTGATATGGACGGAGGACGTCTAACAGGGACAGAAGAGGCGTAGCCAGCAGGATTCCCTGGGCTCCAACCTTGGGAGTGTGGGAGGTAGGTTTAAGGCATGGAAGTCCCAGGCCCCCTCTCCAAATGTCACACAGCTGGCCCCTTTGCTTAAGTTTCTCTGCAGCAAAGAGGGTAAAGGGGGACGGAGGGAAGCTCGGGCTGCTGCTGGGTGGTCCTGCCGCCCTCAGAGCTTCTTCAGACGACTGTACATCTCCCTCTTGCTCTTCTCCCCTGCCCAGGTCCGGCTCTTGGTGCGGAACTTCTTCAGGTCTTCTTTAAAGTCCTCATGGTGCATGGGCCGGTAGCTAGGGGGCTCACAGTAAGACTGAGGGGACAAGAGTGAATGAGGTTAGAGTACACCTGCCTCACACTCACAACCTGGTTTCCTCTCTGCCTATGGTTACAAGGCTGAAAGCGGCCAGGCAGACCTGGGCGGCCAGTTCTACAGGGGCTTTCTTTGTGTTCAGCAGATACCCACCCCCTGGAAAGAAAGTCATGACCGCCAGATAGATCCATTAGTCTACCACTGGGGTAAGGGGAGGAGGGATGCTCTCCACAGTCCCAGTCTTACCTGGCATTTCATAAAGAACTCCTTGTATCCCCCCTTCAGGACATACAGCTCAGGGTAGTGGAGTTTGGGGTATTCATTACCCAGGCGATCTCTCTCTCTCACGTACCGGCACCTAGTCAGGGGAAGGAAGGCCAAAGTAGGGTTAGCTTTTCCAGCACAGAGCAACACCCAGGCAACGCAGTCAAAGTAGCAGTTGTGGTCTAAGTCCCCCTTATACACATCTTCCCAACTTTACATTTATTCTTAGAAACAATCAGTGCTAAGTTGCAAGTTCCTGGCCACGTGAGCAGCATTCACAGCCAGTGCCAGTAGATGGTCTCTTCCCCAACTTTCCTTTCTCCAACAGTCCTAGCGTCTGAGTCCGGCCCAGCACCTTCACCACCAGTTTGTAGCAACAGTTTCACTATCTAAGCCAGCTTCCCCTTACTTTCTCCACCCCAGACTTCTCTTCAGCTAGGCTCCCTCACTCACCTCCTTCTACATAAGTGGGCTTCTTTCTGTGCCTTTTAAGGAGACTGAACTTGCTCCTGCCTCAGGGCCCTGTTTCTATCCTCTACCTGAACTGAACGGTCTTCAATATCCAGCCAATGGCTGCTTACTGCCTCGCCCTTGGTGAAAAAGCCCAAGGCCCCAAGTCCTTCAGAGGCCTACAGCTCATCACCCCTACTGCTGCTCTGCCCCTTGTTCATCCCGCGTGAGTCCCTGCGGCCCCACTACTGTTTCTCCAGCCTGCCTGGGAGCGCCCACCACTGGCCTTATTTTGCTCTGAAGCACCTTTTTTTTGAGACAGAATCTCGCTCTGTCACCAGGCTGGAGTGCAAGGGCGTGATCTCAGGCTCACTGCAATCTCTGTCTCCCGGGTTCAAGCAGTTCTCCTGACTCAGTCTCCCGAACAGCTGGGACTACAGGCGCGTGCCACCGCCCAGCTGATTTTTGTATGTTTAGTAGAGACGGGGCTTCACCATATTGGCCAGGTGATCCTTGCGATCCATCTGCCTTGGCCTCCCAAAGTGTTGGGATTACAGGAGTGAACCACTGCGCCCAGTAACCTTTTTTTTTGAGACGGAGTCTCACTCTGACGCCCAGGCTGTAGTGCACTGGCACAATCTCGGCTCACTGCAACCTCTGCCTCTTGGGTTCAAGGGATGCTACTGCCTCAGCCTCCAAAGTAGCTGGGATTACAGGTGTCCGCCACCACGCCTGGCTAATTTTTGTATTCTTAGTAGAGACAGGATTTCACCATGTTGGCCAGGCTGTTCTTGAACTCCTGTCCACTCTGAAATGTAAGTTCCATGAAGGCAGAGATTTTTGGTCTTTTTGTTCACTGCTCTTCTCCCTCAATATCTAGAAAGGTATCTGGTACACAAGAGCCAAGAGTATCTGCTGATTTTCTCTTGAAGCTCAGTGGTTTGGGGCCTACGGTAGCTGCTCTAGTCATGAGGGATGGGCAGCAGCTTCCTCAGCAGGACGTAACTTAAACCATTTGCCTGTGGTTAAAACGAGTTCGGCTGGGCACGGTGGCTCACACCTGTAATTCCAGCACTTTGGGAGGCTGAGGCAGTGGATCACGAGGTCAGGAGTTCAAGACTGGCCAAGATAGTGGAACCCCGTTTCTACTAAAAATACAAAAAATTAGCCGGGCGTGGTGACAGGCGCCTGTAATCCCAGCTACTTGGGAGGCTGAGGCAGGAGAATCGCTTGAACCCGGGAGGCGGAGGCTGCAGTGAGCCGAGATAGTGCCACTGCACTCCAGCCTGGGCGACAGGGCAAGATTCCGTCTCACCTGTGATTCTTAAATCTTTCCTCAGTGGGTTAACAGAAAGCCAGTGATGGTGAAACTCAAGTGGGGAACGAAGTGTAAGGGGTATCTGTAGATGGTAATATAAACATACAGCTTGCAAATGCAGAATACAGAGATGGGGCGTTGTCTGTATATCCAGGTGAAGTTTTAATATGGTATAATAATGTCCTTTATATTAGAAGTTGTTAAAGAGGAAGATGGGGAAATGAGAGAATTGAGAGAAGAGCATCTTTTGAGCGGGCATGGTGGCTCACACCTGTAATCCAAGCACTTTGGGAGGCCAGGATTGCCTGAGCCCAGGAGTTTGAGACCAGCCTGGGCAACACAGTGAGACCCTGTCTCTACAAAAAACATAAAAATTAGCCAGGCATGGTGATGCATGTTTGTGGTGATGCATGTTTGTGGTCCTGGGAGGCTGAGGTGGGAGAATCACTTGAGCCTGGGAGGCAGAGGCTGCAGTGAGCTGTGCTCCTGCCACTGTACTCCAGCCTGGACAACAGAAACTGACCCTGTCTCAAAAATAAAAAAAAAAAAGAGAGAGAACAGCATCTTTTGTGGGTTTAAAAAAAATTTATATGTATGTGTATGTGTGTCTAGTTTGTTTCAGGCCTGTAATCCCAGCACTTTGGGAAGCTGAGGCAGGTGGATCACTTGAGGTCAGGAGTTCGAGACCAGCCTGGCCAACATAGCGAAACCCTGTCTCTACTAAAAATAAAAACATTAGCTGGGCATGGTGGCATGCGCCTGTAGTCCCAGTTACTCGGGAGCCTGAGGCAGGAGAATTGCTTGAACCCGGGAGGTGGAGGTTGCAGTCAGCTGAGATCGCACCACTGCACTCCAGTCTGGGTGACAGAGCAAGACTACATCTCAAAAAAAAAAAAATCCGGTGAGTGAATAATTCCATTCATGAATGACCATCCTTTGGAGACAGATGTTTGAAGGACTTATGACAGTCAAAAAGTGTCAAGTTCTACTGTAGTTGCCTGTGTGTAGAGCATGTACATACAAATGTGAAAAAATGTTAACAATTAATAAAATCAGGTGAAGTATATGCAAGTACAACCTCTCTCTGTGTGTGTGTGTGTGACAGAGAGACAGAGTCTCACTCTGTCACCTCGGCTGAAGTACGGTGGCATGATCATGGCTCACTGCAGCTCAACCTGCCAGGCTCAAACGATCCTCTCACTCCTATTTTTCATAGAGGTGGGGTCCCGCTGTGTTACCGAGGTTGGTCTGAAACTTTAGCAAGTGATCCTCCCTTGAACCATCCTAGTTAAGCTGCACTCTTTGTCCCACCTCTCTGCCTGTCCTCCTATTTTCTTAGCATTTATATGGATCCCCACTTGGATCTCTGCTGCAACAGGGTCCTTGTTGGTCCTGCTCGCTGTGGTATTTATACTGTACTGTGCTTTATTGTAGTTACATTTTTATTGTCAGAGTCTGATACATACCAGGCTTACAATCCTTTTAAAATGGACACAATGACTGATGGGCAGCTCTTTGCCCCCTTTTTTTCACCCTGAAATTGGTAATAATATCAAGTGTTTCAAAGCATCATATCATATCAGGTCTTCACACTTTTCTGGCATTTGCATAAGGAATGGTTACTTTATATTTGAAGGAGGTCACATGAACAGTAGCCTCACAGGTCAGACTAAGGACAGTCAGGGAGACTGGAAGAGCCAAAGTTCACCTCAGGATAAAATTACATATGAAAATGACTTGTTATGTGCAAGAGATTGCTTGATATGCTACAATATGCTCCAAGTGCAAGCCACAAACCACCATGTCCCACAAAAGCAACATGGAGCCTCTGCCCCAGAACCCAGTTCCATGCAGCACTCACATGCGGGGACCTCTCTCAGAAGAAAACTCGCAGTGAAATACAACAATGACACGCTTGCCATCAGTAGGTACAATGGGCTTCTTCAGTAAGAAGTCTTCAACCTCTTCTTCCATGTGCAAGTTCACTGCACCCTGTGAAGACAACAGAGACCCTTGGAACCTGCATGTTTCACACATGAAGTAATGATTCAGCAAGATGTAATGATTCATCAAAAATGATCTTTAAGTCCACAAGACCAGTTTGTGATTTTTTCAGTTTTTCCGGCTGAATAGCCCAGTAGACCATCTGGCACCTGTATCTCAATGGAGCTTTGAGGGTCCGTACACATTCGTCATACAGTAATGCACATGGGGACTGGAAATGGTCAATTCAAATATGACTATGGTACACTTTATAGGTAGTTTTATAAATTTGGGGATTTTCAAAAGCTACAAGACAATGGCAAACAGTAACATCGTATTTAACGTACCTCCTTACTATACTTAAACACTATTAATTGGGTAAAGCATTAAAATGGCAGGCCAGGTGCTGTGGCTCATGTCTGTAATCCTAGCACTTTGAGAGGCTGAGGTGGGCAGATTGCTCAGGAGTTCGAGAACAGTCCAGGCAACATGGTGAAACCCCGTCTTTACTAAAATAAAAATTAAAAAAAATTTAGCTGGGCGTGGCAGCGTGCGCCTGTAGTTCCAGCTACTTGGAAGGCTAAGGCAGGAGAATTGCTTGAACCCAGGAGGCAGAGGTTGCGGTGATCCGAGATCATGCCATTGCACTCCAGCCTGGCGACAGAGCGAGACTCTGTCTCCAAAAAAAAAAAAAAAGATTAAAATGGCAAAATCAGTTCCTTTATTCTTGGGAACCTGTGTCCCAACACGCCCCTCAACCAGGCAGCCTGCTGAACAATCAACTTTGGAGGCATCACTAAGCCTGGCACAGACACCGGGACATGTTGCCAGAGATGGGCTTCTTCTCGTCAGGAGCCCTGGGGTGCTCAGACATTGGTACCCAAGCCTCTTAAATGCTACGAAACCCATTCTGGTCCCCTTGAATGACTTACATCAGTGGGTACCTCCTACAGGTGCCTTGATAATGATGGTGTGAGGGACAAACATGAAGAGTAACTGTCGCACAAGGTGGTAGAGAGTATTGCAGACAAGGGAACATTCGTTAAGAGCACCCGCAATCAAATGCCTTCCACGCTCACTGCATTGTTTCAAAATTCTAACAACTAGCATATGAGCTAAGCGGCCAGGTGTCACTGTCCTCCCCACTTTAAAACCACAGATCCTGTTTAGGGCTCCTTCTACAGCAAGTCTCAGGAATCCATACCTTGATGTGGCCTCCCTCATATTCATATGGGTATCGACAGTCAATGATAACAAACTCTTTAATGAGGTTGGCAAACTTGCCATTCAAAACAGATGCCATCTGTTGAGAGAGAACCAAGGAGAATCAACTTTGACCATAAGGAAAAACTAGATTCAAGTACCTGATGTGTGGTAGGTTCCAAAAGGATGGACTTACAATTTCTGGAGAGATGTATTTTAAATCCTGATGTTTCCCAGCAACTGTATGAAACAGGTAACCCTTAAAAAGAAAAAAAGATACTTAGAGAATCTGAAAGCCCATATAAATTCACACTCACACTGTTTGTCTGGCTGGTAGGAGGCACCTTTTAAAAAACAAACATTAATGGCTGGGCGCAGTGGCTCACACCTGTAATCTCAGCACTTTGGGAGGCCGAGGCTGGTGGATAACCTGAGGTCAGGAGTTCGAGACAAGCCTGGCCAACATGGTGAAACCCCATCTCTGCTAAAAATACAAAAATTAGTCAGGCGTGGTGGCACGCACCTGTAGTCCCAGCTACTCGGAAGGCTAGAGCGGGAAAATTGCATGAACCCAGGAGGCGGAGGTTGCAGTGAGCTGAGATTGCACCACTGCACTCCAGTCTCAGTGACAAGAGCGAGACTCCGTCTCAAAAAACCAACCAACAAGCAAACAATTAGTTAGTACACACTAGTTACTCTTCTAGTTACTTCATTAACATCTTGATATTTAATTTTCACCAAACCAATAAGGTATATTATCCCCGTTTTGAGCACCATATTCAAGGTTACCTAGCTAGTAAGGCATATTTAAATAAAGAAACCTCAGGTAACTTCATTTTCCTCCTGCTTTTGTCAAGAATCCACATGTCAGTAGTTAGAGACTGTGAACAGCACTTAAACATATAGATTTCACTCATTTACTGAGCACCTGCTATGTCCAGCATGGTGCGAGGCACTGGGGATAGGAAAAAAAGAGACCTAGCCTAGCCTTGAGGAGGAAGATGCGCACATTAGCCATTACTCATTAGGGCGACTGGCTGAGTCAAGAGTTCATCTATCCCCATGCAGAGGCCCATTAAGACAAACATAACCAGGCCTCAATTCAAGTCGAAAATTCCACTGAGTGTGATGGTGCATGCCTGTAGTCCCATCTACTTGGGAGGCTGAGGCAGGGGGAGCACTTGAGGCCAGAAGTTCGAGGCTACAGTGTACTATGATAGCATGGGCGAATAGCCACTGCACTACAGCCTGAGCAACATAGTAAGACCACATCTCTCCCCGCCAAATAAGAGAAGGTTCCAAAACTGAGGATGCAGCTGGGTCTTTGCTTGTTCTCTTCATTCTCCTTGTTCCTTCGAAACCCATTTAGGCTGAAATATCAATGGCCCAAGCCCATACGTTTCCCAACCCCCTAGCCAAGACAAACCCTTTTACTTCTCACAGACTGCTGTTTATGTTTACACCTCACTGAAATTTATTTCAGTCTACCATGTGGTACATGTAGTTCATGTCTTACCTCTCCAACCACATGCTAAATTCTTTGAGGGAAGGAACTGGGTCTCATTTCGGAATTTCTGCCTAACACATAAGTGCTTCAATAAATGTTAACTAAATTAATGAATAAAACATTGATCTGGGCCGGGTGCGGTGGCTCAAGCCTGTAATCCCAG